CGGACATCCTGAGATAATATGGTCGGCAGTTTCATCATATTTTTCGCAGATACTGCATTTTGGGTTAGTTCCATCCTTGATTATGTAACAGTGATAGGATCTGGTTGCAAGGCTTTGGTTCTGAGCTGCAATAATTAGGCCTTCTGTCTCAGCTTTCAACCCAGTGCTTCTCAGCTACTCATGTGTTTTCTGTTGGTCGACATCTGCTTCTTTCGTTCATTTTAGTTATTTGCCTGCAGCACTTCGTCCTTCTTTTTTTTTTTTTTCTTTTTTTTTGAATTTCATTCTCCCAAGTTCTTTTGCTTTCTGTATTACTCGTTTGGCGTAGATGGTATTCACTTCATTTTTTGTTGGTAGTATTTCAGGTACATTAAGCTGTTTCTTGAAGAGTGCAACTATTTCGTTCATGGAGTGGATTTCGTGCTTTACTATTTGCAGTTGAGGGTCATTGATTTTTGTCAGGTAGACTTCCAATCCGATTGTTGTTGTTTTTAGAGTTAGTTCAAGTTGGATTAGACTTCGGTCTCCTAAAACTCTTGGTACGTACAACCTATCAACATCTGATTTCGGGTGGTGCATCCTCATCTGGGTAAGCATTTTTCTGGTTTTGGCCTTCAATATTTTAATGTCATTCAACTTTCATTTAATAATGTTGTAGTTGTATATTACTACGCATACAGCTAAGGTGTTGATAGCCTTCATTTTATTGATCCCCATTATGTTCGCTTTCTAGTATCAAACGCACTCTCTTATAATATTCTTTTCCATTCTTTTTCTTCATAATTGAATGTTGTATTCTGTCTCTTTTATTAATTCCTAAATATTTGTATGTACGATCATGGTTTAGTTCCTTAATCTTGATGTGGATATCAAGGTTTAAATTTGTAGTCTTCGTTAGTTTACAGCCTCTGAAGGTGGCTTTGGCACATTTATCGATTCCGACCTCCATCCTAATGTCTTCACTGAAGGTTTTGACAATTGTGAGTAGGTATTTCTGCTTGTTGTCACCCTTGGCAAACGTTTTAAGATCATCTATACAGAAAAGATTATTCTGTTTACCATTCTGTGACGTGTATCCGTAGCTACTGTTCCTCAGTAGGCAGCTGGGTGGCGCTAATGCAAGACAGAAGAATAGTGGTGACAATGGAAGATCCCCCTTTTGATGTTGATTTGTCTCGATGTTAATGACCCGTTTCTGTGGTTCAGATTTAGTGTAGTTTTTTTTTATGCTCTCCGTTAAGATTTTGATTATTGTGGTAACATACTTTATATAATTTTTGGCTCTTCTTTATCCATGAGTGTGATACACTGAGGAACGCCTTTCAGCCGATCCATGCTATCGATAAGTTTCTTCTTCTTCTTCTTCTTCTTCTTATTATTATTATTATTATTATTATTATTATTGTTATTATTATTATTATTACATAACCTCTTGATGTTATCGGTATAGAGAAGGCGATCCCAGCATGCAGCACCTTTAGAAAGTGCCCGAAAACCATACAACGGGCTGAGAATGAAATGGGGTAGAGAGCTGTCGGTGGCTGTGCTTTCACAAGCCATCGTGACCGAGAGTTTCAGCGTGTGAGCCTTATTCAGACTATGATTTAGGTTTAGTGCCGTCTTACAGTTCTTCATATTCTCCGTTATGAATTTGACCGTTGTAGGGGTGTATATTTATATATTTTGATATAATGGAATATGCGTACACCTGTGTTCCCCCTCATTGGAATATGATTGGCTGGTGTCCGTCATAAATACCGACGGACGTGTAGGAGAGACAAAAAGCCTTAGTCTGAGAGCTAAGTCTATAACGACGCCCATTGGACTACGCCATTGATCTACACTTCTTACCTGCGACTACGACGCGTACCAGTCGATTACTGCTACCGTATTCTACTTGGTTATAGTAGCCAAAACCACTTAGCTACTTTGTTCAAATATATCCCTTTCCGGGATATATCACATTTATATATACAGGCGTATATCTATGTTCTTCTCTATTTATGAGTGTTGTAAACTGTCCAACGCCTTTCTGTAGTCGATCCATTCAATCAATAAGTTTCTTTTCCTTATTTTCACCTCTTCTAATATTGTTACCTCTCCGGGGTAATGAGTGAAAAGTACAGTGTATGAGTGTTATCTATGCACGTTTGGAACTTTTGTTTTAGATGGAAAGGATTTTGCGGATAATAATAAAGTAACTATAAATAGTTTTTTTTTTTTTTTTTTTGCTATCTTCTGCCAGCCGCAATGATAGACAAAGCATTACCTCACACCATCGCCAGTGAGATACGCTGCAAGCGCAACTCCGTTTCGCGAGGCTCGTCCCTTAATCGAGACGCCATCCCGCCAACCAGCCAAAGGAACGCCATCAAACGAGGGCCAATAATCCCAGAAGTCTCCACTACCACAGGAGAAAAAATATGTAAGCAAGAGAGAAGAATATAACTAATTTTTTTTTTTTTTTTATCTCTGCGTCTCCAGCGACAGACCCCGGCTCAACCTAGGACCTGATCAAATTACCAGTCGAAAAAGTATCGGCACAGGTCGCATCACAAATCAACGACTACCACATTTTAAAAGGGAAAATGGTAACGCCATCCGGCCGCTTTCCATCACCACGGTCGAGGCCTACGTGTTTGATTTTGGAAGGAAACCCAGCTGCATCCAGACCTCTTCTGATGATGTCGTTTATTGCTGCATGCCTTAGAAAGCGGCCGGTACTACGACGACAGGAGAGAGGATGCTAACCAAACTCATCAATGGAAGCTCCACATCTGCGTCTGTGATGCTCATATAATTTGAGACCAAGGACCTTTCTGCACAAAGTAATCTTTTGTAGCTGTGAGATGCTGATGGGTCCAGGAATTTTACCCACATGATTTTCGGTACCCTTCTTTATCATACCCAATTCCCTCATCACAACAGGAATAATTGTAGTTTGAAATTTCAACATTTTTGTTACTTCGATTTCTAGGTCCTTATTTGACAGTTTTTGAAATTCTATTTTTAGAAACATTGGAATCCTGTAGGAAAGTCATTTTAATTAGTTGTCAGGTTCTTTTTTAAATTCTTTTATGACTATGTCTGTTCTATTTGCATAAATTCCCCTGTCTGTGAGAATTGGGAAATTCCACATTATAGTCACTCCATCACCATTTATGACATCATCCGAAAGCCTGTCATGCCTAATAATGTATTCTGTCTCATCTCAGCAAAGACTGGACATCCTGATACTCTGTGGTCAAACGTTGTATGAAATGTATGGTATATTATTATTATTATTATTATTATTATTATTATTATTATTATTATTCTGTTAGTTAGCCGTTTTGATCGTGTGGAAATACAGAAAAGACATATAAAAGACGCTACTTGGTTTCAGTTAAGAAAGAAAAACGAAAGAAAGATGTGCTTTCAGTGGAATGGAAAAATTGCCAATTTAAAATCTTTTAATTTGTACCCCTAACTTCAGTAAATAACTACCAGAATTCATATTTATAATTGTTATTGCAGTATTTTGTTAAAGTTGCTAAGCCCAAATATTTAACAGCGCGGTAGGTGGATTTCTACGGACATTGTATTATTGTAGAACTCACCACGCGCTTATTCAGTCATAAACTTAAGGATTAAGATTCATTAGAAAATCCAAATAGGAAAACTGTAGTTCTTTTGATTTCTGTTGTATACACATTTCCTTCCAGGTCACAACAAGAGTCCTAAGGACAGAAATGGCTTTATTACATTTTTCACTTATTATTATTATTATTATGATTATGATTATTATTATTATTATTATTATTATGATTATTCATATCACGCTCACCTGACGTATACTTTTTTAAAGTTAAAATAATTGGACATAATACTCCTCTTAAAATAATAATAAAAAAAACAGTTCCGTTTCACTTTAGATACACTTTTACCAACACACATACAAATGTATGCAATTTATTGGGGACGTTTTTATAGATTACAGTAAACCCAGATAGGTAGTACATCATAATTATTTAAAGAAAAAAAAACTATCAATTAGAAAAGAACACAATCTTGCAATATTACAAAGTGACTAATAACCAATTAAATAAATTTCAATAAAGAAATAAATGAACAAGTAAATAAAGGTATATAGAGAGATAATAAGTCTTTAAATTTTTTGTGGGTCTTTCATTTCGATTAAATAAGATGTTTGTTTTCATTTGATTGGAAACGAAAAGTGAAATACACTAATTGATTCTTTGCTGGACAAAAGAATGAAATAAACATTGACGAAATAAAAGAGACGATAAATGGCTTGAAAAAGCAAAATAAACGGCAAGACAATCAAGAGAAAAGTTCTCAAATAAAAAATTACGATACTAGCAACTAAATACGAGAACATTTATGTATTTTTTTAATGTCTGGTCATATATCTGTCTACTTGGTAGTATCTATACGAAAATACGCGAAGAGTTACATCCATTACGATAGGCGTACACTGACGGTATGTATATCAGTGTAAATTTCTAAATAGCTAATTGCATCATAAATATTCCTAGTAAGTTTATGAACTGTAGCAATATATAAAACGGAGAATTGAAGTTTATGATTGGCATTTAATAACAACAATGATGATGATGATGATGATGATGATGATGATGATGATCTGACGTTTTGATTATCAAAGACCTATCGGTTAAGAGATGATAGAGAAGTAGAAGGAAAGAACAAGGCGAGGAAGAAAGAAAAACTTGAAAGGGGGAATAGGGAGAACAATAATGTCATAGGAAAAGTAGAAACAGTTGCGGGAGGGGGAAAAAGAAAGTACAATCATAGGGAGGGAAAGAGAGTTAACAGAAGTAAAAGTGGGGTGAAAGAAAGATCAACAATGAGAAAGGAAAAGTAAGGCAAATCATGAAAGAAAAGAAAGAAAGAACAAACGTGATCGGGTAAAAAGAAAGTACAATAATGGTAGAGGAGAAAGAAAGTCCAAACGTGAGGGTGAAGGAAAGAAAAAACAATCATGAGAAAGGAAAAGAAAAGCGGTCATGATAGAGGAAGAGAAAGAAGGAACGTAATTGGGCGAAAAAAAGAGATGCAATCATAGGAGAAGAAAAAGAAAGAAAGAAAAAATATGAAGTTTGGAGGAATGAAAGAATAATGATGAAAAAGAAAAGCAAACATGATAGAGGAAGAGAGAATATAATCGTGACAGGGCGAAAAGAAGGTACAATCAGAGAGAGGAAAAAGAAAGAACAAACGCGTAGAGAAAAGAAAAGGAAAGGAAAACAATCAAGATAGAGGAGAAGAAAGTACAATCGTGAGAGGGCGAAAAGAAAGTACAAACATGAGAGAAGAAAAATAGAGAACAAACATGAAAGTGGGGTAAAGAAAGAAGACTCGTGAGAAAAGAAAAGAAAAACAACCATATAAGAGGAAAAGAAAGAACAAAGGTGATTAGGCGAAAAGAAAGCACAATCATGGGAGTACAAAAAGAAAGAACAATCATTAAGGTGGGGGAGGAAGTAAAGAACAATCATGAGAAAGGAAAAGATAAAATCGCCATGATAGAGGAAGAGAAAGAACAACTGAGAGAGGGCGAAAAGAAAAGAAAATCATAGGAGAGGATAAAAAAAGAACAATGGTAAATTTGGGGGAAAGAAAGAATAGACAGGAAAAAGAAAAAGATGAACAACCACGATAGAGGAAGAGAAATAATAATCGTGAAATGGCGAAAAGAAAGGTGAATTTTGTGAGAAAGAAAGATCAATCATGAGAAAAGAAAAAAAGTAATAATGATAGAGGAAGAGAACGAACAATCGTGACCAGGCAATAAAGGGAATTACAATCATGGGAAGGAGAAAAGAAAGAATAAACGTTAAAAAGGCGGGGATATATAGAACAATCGTGAGAGAGGAAGAGAAAAAACGGCCATGATAGAGGAGAAGAAACATCAGTTGTGAGAGGGCGAAAAGAAAGTACAAGGGGGGAAGAATCATGAGAAAGGAAGAGAAAAACGACCATGATAGAGGAGAAGAAACATCAGTTGTGAGAGGGCTAAAAGAAAGTACAAGGGAGAATAATCATGAGAAAGGAAGAGGAAAAACGACCATGATTGAGGAGAAGAAACATCAGTTGTGAGAGGGCGAAAAGAAAGTACAAGGGGGAAGAATCATGAGAAAGGAAGAGAAAAAACGACCATGATTGAGGAGAAGAAACATCAGTTGTGAGAGGGCGAAGAGAAAGTACAAGGGGGAAGAATCATGAGAAAGGAAGAGAAAAAACGACCACGATAGAGGAGAAGAAACATCAGTTGCGAGAGGGCGAAAAGAAAGTACAAGGGGGAAGAATCATGAGAAAGGAAGAGAAAAAACGACCATGATTGAGGAGAAGAAACATCAGTTGTGAGAGGGCGAAAAGAAAGTACAAGGGGGAAGAATCATGAGAAAGGAAGAGACAAAACGACCACGATAGAGGAGAAGAAACATCAGTTGTGAGAGGGCGAAAAGAAAGTACAAGGGAGAATAATCATGAGAAAGGAAGAGGAAAAACGACCATGATTGAGGAGAAGAAACATCAGTTGTGAGAGGGCGAAAAAAGAAAGTACAAGGGGAAGAATCATGAGAAAGGAAGAAAAAAACGACCACGATAGAGGAGAAGAAACATCAGTTGTGAGAGGGCGAAAAAAAAGTACAAAGGGGAAGAATCATGAGAAAGGAAGAGGAAAAACGACCACGATTGAGGAGAAGAAACATCAGTTGTGAGAGTGCGAAAAGAAAGTACAAGGGGGAAGAATCATGAGAAAGGAAGAGGAAAAACGACCACGATAGAGGAGAAGAAACAACAGTTGTGAGAGGGCGAAAAGAAAGTACAAGGGGAAGAATCATGAGAAAGGAAGAGAAAAAACGACCACGATAGAGGAGAAGAAACATCAGTTGTGAGAGGGCGAAAAGAAAGTACAAGGGAGAACAATCATGAGAAAGGAAGAGAAAAAACGACCATGATAGAGGAGAAGAAAGATCAGTTGTGAGAGGGCGAACAGAAAGTACAAGGGGGAAGAATCATGAGAAAGGAAGAGACAAAACGACCACGATAGAGGAGAAGAAACATCAGTTGTGAGAGGGCGAAATAAAGTACAAGGGAGAATAATCATGAGAAAGGAAGAGGAAAAACGACCATGATTGAGGAGAAGAAACATCAGTTGTGAGAGGGCGAAAAGAAAGTACAAGGGGGAAGAATCATGAGAAAGGAAGAGAAAAAACGACCACGATAGAGGAGAAGAAACATCAGTTGTGAGAGGGCGAAAAAAAAAAGTACAAGGGGGGAAGAATCATGAGAAAGGAAGAGGAAAAACGACCACGATAGAGGAGAAGAAACATCAGTTTGTGAGAGAGCGAAAAGAAAGTACAAGGGGAAGAATCATGAGATAGGGAAGAAAAAAACGACCACGATAGAGGAGAAGAAACATCAGTTGTGAGAGGGCGAAAAGAAAGTACAAGGGAGAATAATCATGAGAAGGGAAGAGAAAAAACGACCATGATAGAGGAGAAGAAACATCAGTTGTGAGAGGGCGAAAAGAAAGTACAAGGGGGAAGAATCATGAGAAAGGAAGAGGAAAAACGACCACGATAGAGGAGAAGAAACATCAGTTGTGAGAGGGCGAAAAAAAGAAAGTACAAGGGGAAGAATCATGAGAAAGGAAGAGAAAAAACGACCACGATAGAGAAGAAGAAACATCAGATGTGAGGGCGAAAAGAAAGTACAAGGGAGAACAATCATGAGAAAGGAAGAGAAAAACGACCATGATAGAGGAGAAGAAACATCAGTTGTGAGAGGGCGAAAAGAAAAGTACAAAGGGGAAGAAAAGAGACAAACGACCACGATAGAGGAGAAGAAACATCAGTTGTGAGAGGGCGAAAAAAAAAAGTACAAGGAGAATAATCATGAGAAAGGAAGAGGAAAAACCACCATGATTGAGGAGAAGAAACATCAGTTGTGAGAGGGCGAAAAGAAAGTACAAGGGGAAGAATCATGAGAAAGGAAGAGAAAAACGACCACGATAGAGGAGAAGAAACACATCAGTTGTGAGAGGGCGAAAAAGAAAGTACAAGGGAGAATAATCATGAGAAAGGAAGGAAAAACGACCACGATAGAGGAGAAGAAACATCAGTTGTGAGAGGGCGAAAAAAGAAAGTACAAGGAGAACAATCATGAGAAAGGAAGAGAAAAAACGACCATGATATAGGAGAAGAAACATCAGTTGTGAGAGGGCGAAAAAGAAAGTACAAGGGGAAGAATCATGAGAAAGGAAGAGGAAAAACGACCACGATATCGGAGAAGAAACATCGGTTGTGAGAGGGCGAAAAGAAAGTACAAGGGAGAACAATCATGAGAAAGAAGAGGAAAACGACCACGATGAGGAGAAAAACATCAGTTGTGAGAGTGCGAAAAGAAAGTACAAGGGGAAGAATCATGAGATAGGAAGAGAAAAAAACGACCACGATAGAGGAGAAGAAACATCAGTTGTGAGAGGGCGAAAAGAAAGTACAAGGAGAATAATCATGAGAAAGGAAAAGAAAAAAGACCATGATAGAGGAGAAGAAACACCAGTTGTGAGAGGGCGAAAAAAGAAAGTACAAGGGGAAGAATGATGAGAAAGGAAGAGGAAAAACGACCACGATAGAGAGGAGAAGAAACATCAGTTGTGAGAGGGGCGAAAAGAAAGTACAAGGGAGAACAATCATGAGAAAGGAAAGAAAACGACCATGATATAGGAGAAGAAAATCAGTTGTGAGAGGGCGAAAAGAAAGTACAAGGGGGAAGAATCATGAGAAAGGAAGAAAAAACGCCCACGATAGAGGAGAAGAAACATCAGTTGTGAGAGGGTGAAAAGAAAGTACAAGGAGAACAATCATGAGAAAGGAAGAAAAAACGACCATGATAGAGGAGAAAAAACGTTGAGAGAGGGCGAAAAAAGAAAGTACAAGGGGGAAGAATCATGAGAAAGGAAGAGGAAAAACGACCACGATAGAGGAGAAGAAACATCAGTTGTGACAGGGCGAAAAAGAAAGTACAAAGGGGAAGAATCATGAGAAAGGAAGAAAACGACCACGATAGAGAGAAGATACATCAGTTGTGAGAGGGCGAAAAGAAAGTACAAGGGGAAGAAAGAAAGGAAGAGAAAAACGACCACGATAGAGGAGAAGAAACATCAGTTGTGAGAGGGCGAAAAGAAAGTAAAGGGAGAATAAGAGGAAAAAAGAGGAAAAACGACCACGATAGAGGAGAAGAAACATCAGTTGTGAGAGGGCGAAAAGAAAGTACAAGGAGAACAATCATGAGAAAGGGAAGAGAAAAACGACCATGATATAGGAGAAGAAACATCAGTTGTGAGAGGGCGAAAAGAAAGTACAAGGGGGAAGAATCATGAGAAAGGAAGAGGAAAAACGACCACGATATCGGAGAAGAAACATCGGTTGTGAGAGGGCGAAAAGAAAGTACAAGGGAGAACAATCATGAGAAAGGAAGAGGAAAAACGACCACGATAGAGGAGAAGAAACATCAGTTGTGAGAGTGCGAAAAGAAAGTACAAGGGGGAAGAATCATGAGATAGGAAGAGAAAAAACGACCACGATAGAGGAGAAGAAACATCAGTTGTGAGAGGGCGAAAAGAAAGTACAAGGGAGAATAATCATGAGAAGGGAAGAGAAAAAAAGACCATGATAGAGGAGAAGAAACACCAGTTGTGAGAGGGCGAAAAGAAAGTACAAGGGGGAAGAATGATGAGAAAGGAAGAGGAAAAACGACCACGATAGAGGAGAAGAAACATCAGTTGTGAGAGGGCGAAAAGAAAGTACAAGGGAGAACAATCATGAGAAAGGAAGAGAAAAACGACCATGATATAGGAGAAGAAAAATCAGTTGTGAGAGGGCGAAAAGAAAGTACAAGGGGGAAGAATCATGAGAAAGGAAGAGAAAAAACGCCCACGATAGAGGAGAAGAAACATCAGTTGTGAGAGGGTGAAAAGAAAGTACAAGGGAGAACAATCATGAGAAAGGAAGAGAAAAAACGACCATGATAGAGGAGAAGAAACGTCAGTTGCGAGAGGGCGAAAAGAAAGTACAAGGGGAAAGAATCATGAGAAAGGAAGAGGAAAAACGACCACGATAGAGGAGAAGAAACATCAGTTGTGACAGGGCGAAAAGATAGTACAAGGGGGAAGAATCATGAGAAAGGAAGAGAAAAAAACGACCACGATAGAGGAGAAGATAATCAGTTGTGAGAGGGCGAAAGAAAGTACAAGGAGAATAATCATGAGAAAGGAAGAGAAAAACGACCATGATAGAGGAGAAGAAACATCAGTTGTGAGAGGGCGAAAAGAAAGTACAAGGGGGGAAGAATCATGAGAAAGGAAGAGGAAAAACGACCACGATAGAGGAGAAGAAACATCAGTTGTGAGAGGGCGAAAAGAAAGTACAAGGGGGAAGAATCATGAGAAAGGAAGAGAAAAAACGACCACGATAGAGGAGAAGAAACATCAGTTGTGAGAGGGCGAAAAGAAAGTACAAAGGAGAACAATCATGAGAAAGGAAGAGAAAAACGACCATGATAGGAGGAGAAAAAATCACAAGGAGAGGGCGAAAAGAAAGTACAAGGGGAAGAATCATGAGAAAGAAGAGAAAAAAACGACGATAGAGAGAAGAAACATCAGTTGTGAGAGGGTGAAAAGAAATCAAGGGGAGAACAAATGAGAAAGGAAGAGAAAAACGACCATGATAGAGGAGAAGAAACGTCAGTTGTGAGAGGGCGAAAAGAAAGTACAAGGGGAAAGAATCATGAGAAAGGAAGAGGAAAACGACCACGATAGAGGAGAAGAAACATCAGTTGTGACAGGGCGAAAAGATAGTACAAGGGGAAGAATCATGAGAAAGGAAGAGAAAAACGACCACGATAGAGGAGAAGATACATCAGTTGTGAGAGGGCGAAAAGAAAGTACAAGGAGAATAATCATGCGAGAAAGGAAGAAAAAAACGACCATGATAGAGGAGAAGAAACATCAGTTGTGAGAGGGCGAAAAAAAGTACAAGGGGGGAAGAATCATGAGAAAGGAAGAGGAAAACGACCACGATAGAGGAGAAGAAACATCAGTTGTGAGAGGGCGAAAAGAAAGTACAAGGGGAAGAATCATGAGAAAGGAAGAGAAAAAACGACCACGATAGAGGAGAAGAAACATCAATTGTGAGAGGGCGAAAAGAAAGTACAAGGAGAATAATCATGAGAAGGAAGAGAAAAACGACCATGATAGAGGAGAAGAAACATCAGTTGTGAGAGAGGGCGAAAAGAAAGTACAAGGGGGAAGAATCATGAGAAAGGAAGAGGAAAAACGACCACGATAGAGGAGAAGAAACATCAGTTGTGAGAGGGCGAAAAGAAAGTACAAGGGGGAAGAATCATGAGAAAGGAAGAGAAAAAACGACCACGATAGAGGAGAAGAAACATCAGTTGTGAGAGGGCGAAAAGAAAGTACAAGGGAGAATAATCATGAGAAAGGAAGAGGAAAAACGACCACGATAGAGGAGAAGAAACATCAGTTGTGAGAGGGCGAAAAGAAAGTACAAGGGAGAACAATCATGAGAAAGGAAGAGAAAAAACGACCATGATAGAGGAGAAGAAACATCAGTTGTGAGAGGGCGAAAAGAAAGGACAAGGGAGAATAATCATGAGAAAGGAAGAAGAAAAACGACCACGATAGAGGAGAAGAAACATCAGTTGTGAGAAGGCGAAAAGAAAGTACAAGGGGAAAGAATCATGAGAAAGGAAGAGGAAAAATGACCACGATAGAGGAGAAGAAACATCAGTTGTGAGAGGGCGAAAAAAAAGATAGTAC